CAGGCAGCTGTAATAGGGAGACAGAAACAAGCCCCAAATAAAAGAACAAAATAATTCTCCAGAGAAGAGCTAAATGGAATGGAGATAAGCAATCTATCAGATATAGAGTTCAGAATACTGATCATAAGGATACTCAACAGCATGAGAAAAGAAATGGACACTATGAAGGAAATTAAGAATGACATAAGAGAAATAAAACAAAATAAAAACATTGGAAGGAATAAACAGCAGATTAGAGGAAGCCGAGGATCAAATTAGTGAATTAGAAGACAAGGTAGAAAAAAATCACTCAATTACTCAACCAAAGAACGAAAATGAAAAATCAATTGAAAAACAGGACAGTTTAAGGAAGCTGTGGGACAACGTGAAATAAAACAATATTCACATCATAGGAGTGCCCGAAGATGTAGAAAATAAGCAAGGGTTAGAAAACCTGTTTGAAGAAATAATGGTATAAAATTTTCCTAACCTGGTCAGGAAAAAGTCACACAAGTTCAGGAGACACAGAGAGTCCCAAGCAAGAAGAATCCAAAAAAGCCCAAGCCCAGACACATCATATTAAAATGTCAAAAATTCAAGACAAAGAGAGCATCTTAAAGGCAAGAGAAGAGCAATCTGTTACCTACAAAGGAGCTCCCATAAGGCTGTCAGCTGACTTCTCCTCAGAAACTCTACAGGCCAGAAGGGAATGGCATGAAGTATTCAAGGTAATGCAAAACAAGGATCTGAAACCAAGACTACTCTATCCAGCAAGGCTATCACTCAAAGTAGATGGTGAAATAAAGAGCTTCCCAGACAAAAAAAAAAAAGGCTAAAGGAGTGTATCACCACCATACCAGCATTGCAGGGAATGTTAAAGGGTCTGCTGTAATTAGAAGTAGAAATAGAAGCATTGCAAGAAATGTTAAAGTTACTGCTGTAATAAGAAGAAGAAAGAGAGAGAAACATAGGCATAAAGAATTAAAATGACAATAAATAAAGACCTATCAATAATAACCTTAAGGACTTTAAGGGAGAGATCAACAGCAATGTTATCATAGTCATGGACTTTAACACCCCACTGACTTCAATGGATAAATTTTCCAGACAAAAGTCAAGATAGAAACAGTGACTAAATGGCACACTAGATCAGATGGATTTAATTGATATTTACAGGACATTTCACCCCAAAGCTGCAGAATATACATTCTTCTCAAGTGCACATGGGTCATTTTCAAAGATAGACCACCTGTCAGGCCACAAAACCAGTCTCTACAAGTTCAAGCATCTCAGATCACAAGGGCATGAAATTAGAAATCAACTATAGTAAAAGCACTCAAAAACATTCAAACACATGGAGGCTAAATAGCATGCTATTAAACAATGAATGGGTTACCAATAAGATCAAGAAAGAAATAAAAAACTTCCTAGAAACAAATGAAAATGAACACACAGCAACCCAAAATCTATGGGACACAGTGAAAGCAGTCCTAAGAGGGAAGTTCACAGCACTGCAGGCCTACCTCAAAAAGCAAGAAAAATTTTTAGTGAACTATCTAACCCTGCAACTTAAAGAATTAGAAAGCTCCCCTGTGAGGCCATCAGGACCCGGGCTTTTGTTTGCTGGGAGTTTTTTTATTACTGCTTCGATTTCATCAGTTGTTAGTAGCCTATTCAGGTTTTCTGATTCTTCCTGATTCAGTTTTACATGATCCCACTTATATGTGGAATCTAATAAACAAAATAAACTGAAGAACAAAATGGATCCAGAGACATGGAAGCATGGAACAGACTGATGAATCTCAGTGGAAAGGCAGGGGTGGGGGAGTGGGTGGGGAGAGATTAATCAAAGAACTTATATGAACATATGTATAACCAATGGACACAGACATAGTGTGGGGAAGGCCTGGGGGGAGGGCGGATTTGGGGGGGAGGGGATCAATGGAGGGATAAAAGGGGGATATCTGTAATACTTTCAACAATAAAGATAAATTTTTAAAAATAAATTTTAAAAAACTCATGAGGCTATTGAATTATTTGATGACATTAAAGAATTGTGAGGGTTTATTATGTGTGATAATGGCATTGAGGATTTTTTATTTCTTATATTTTAATAATACAAATTAAAGTTTTTACCAATGAAATGATTTCTGTGTTTGCTTCCAAATAATCTAGTTGAGGTCTGGGGAAGGCTGTAAAAGAAACAAGATTGGCTTGGGTTGGTAATTGTTGAAGCTGAGTTATGGGAGCAGAAGTGTCATTAGACTATTCTCTCTACTTTTGAATAAATAATTGCATCAAAAAACTTTTTAAAGATACACGAGTGCTTCAGCCTCCCCCCCCAGAGATTCTAGTTTCTATAATACTGCAGGGGACAGGCCCTTTCCTCCATGATTTTCCAAACTGTAGACCAAGGGTTTTAATCTAGCATCAGATATTGTCAGTGGACATCATATGGTGCAGCCTTCACCAGGCTTCCATTAGGGAAACCCACACAGCCATACAACTGAGCTTTGATGGGGGGGGGGGGGG